ACGGACCATTTGCTTTTCTGCTGTTGTTTTTTTTTCGCGAACTAAACACACAAACACGACAATTATGTTTGTTGCATGATCGATTTTCGGTGACATACTGTTGCACACCACATAACGTCCAACCATACTATTTTATCGAATTTCTCTCTGTCGCTTGTTAATCGGTCAAATTAGCAAACAATTCGCTTGACTCGCGGCCAAAGCAGTAAAATAAAAGCACACACACACACATCATGACTAAATTATTGAGTTGACGGTTGTCTCTCTATTTTTAAAAATGATATGAGGCAATTTTCTTCGTTTGTTTGTCGCATTTTCATGTCGGTGAATTTCTTTTTTTTTGTTGGTCATTTTCATGCTCGTTTTCGAAAAGAAAAGAAAAAGAAACGAAAAATGAAAACAAATCGTCGCACATATTTGATTTGTCATCGATTAACATCAATTCTTTCTCTCTTTCCCTCTCTCTCTCTCTCTATCTTCTGCTTGCTTTCTGTCTTTCTCTCCGTTGGCTCGAACACTCGAGCCTCGCCAAATGTTGTCAGCGATTAATCATACGTTTGATTTCTATGCTGCAATTTTATATTTTTCGAGCGTACGATGCTCTGTCATGGCATGGGGCACTCGGTCTCTTCTTACAATCTGCGCTCGCATCGCAATTTAATTGAACATTGTCGACAAGAAAACAGATGGGCTACGATGTGCAAATTAGTTTGTCGTTTAAAATCAGTAATAAACATTACGTCGATTTACTTTATTAATCAGTGGATCAATGAATACGAGCGAACGTACGCTCGTCAGCGCACCTCAATTCACAGATTGATAAACACATCGCGACTCTCCGAGAAATGTGGAAAGAAAACGAAAGAAAAACAAAAAACAAAAAAAGAAGAGAAGAAAAAACGAAAAGAAAAAGAAAGAAAAATGTGTGCAGCATACAGAAAAGTCGTAAAAATGTTTCCAGTAGAAGTATAACTATTATTTGTTGTGCGTTCGTTGAAAACAACTTTCTCAACGAAACGAAAAACGAATGAACGACAACGCGCGGCACCTACAACAACAACAACAACAGCAGCAGCAACAGTAACAGCTACGATGACGGCATCAACAAAAAAGGTAATTTCACATGCATCATTTTACGTTCATTGAGTGCTGTGTGTGAACAGCAGAAGGTGAGATAGTCTTCACCAGTTTGATCGGAAAATACACCAGCGCGCGCGCTCTCTATTTCTCTCGTCCTCTATAAGTTGTTCCGTGTCTATTTGAGCGCGCGCAAAAAAAAACCCAACAAACATCCAACACACAATTGGCAACGAGAACTAGAAATACAATGGGAAATTGGTACATGTGCATCGATGACACTCTCTCGTGAGCTTGAATGTGCGTGAGCGCCCGCTCATTCTCAAATGTGGTGCACAGTGCACACACACACACAAACAACATTGTGTGTATATTGCGGCAAAAGTACAGTGCATGCCTTCTGTTGTCGCTCTAACACACGCCATGCTAACACAATGTACACAACCATTGAAGCCAAAGTGTGAGGAGCGCTCTTGAAGCTTTGACGCTGGTTGGTTGGTTGTTGTTTTTGTTTTCTGTTTTTTTTTTGCTCTTCATCATCATCGTCATCGTCATCGTCATCTCCTTCTTTTAAATGCCCCTGATAAGTTTTCCACTGGGTCCCGTTTTGGCATTGCATAAATTCAGTGTAAGCGCGAGTGAACCAAAGGTGCGCGCTCGCGCGCACACACACGCTCCAACATTTCATTCATTCGTTACACGCTCTCGCACTTCCCATCCGCACAATTTAATGAATTAATGCAAAAGAAAAGCAAGTCTTTGGAAGTTAATTAATTTATTTCCGAATCAGAAGCATTAAAATTTGTAATTTATACAGAGTTCGAGAGTTGAGTACGAGATTGGCGACGGCAAGCAAACGGCGGCACCGAATGTGTATATGCCATGTGTATATATATTTACTGCTGTGGCGGTAGCAATCACGTTGTGACGAATGACGAGAAACATACTGAATTGTATATGTGTGTTTGATTTCGGTCGCAAATTCCAAACATCATCATCAGCATCCCATACGGTTCCCGTCTTCGTCTTCTTTGCTGGCAGAGCAAGAGAGTGAAATATGAAATGACAGAGAATGTTTTATCCAAACCCCGATTCCCATGCAACGCTACACGGGCAAAATGAAATGTTAATTCTTGTGTGTTATTTTTTTCTGCTTCTTCTTTCCATCTTCTCTCGATTGCTGCGCAGCAGTGTCTACTACTCTTCTCTCTTGTCTCACATATTTTTGTGGACTAATCACTTTCATTCGAATAGAATTTCAATTTACTAAAACTGGAAGGAAAACTTTTAACTTTCATCACCTGCAACAAGCATAGAGAGAGAGAGAGAGAGAAAGAGATTCAAGACATGCGAACCGAAATGTTCGCACAGTATTGAAATGAGATTTCTTATCGGCACAAAACTTTTTGACACAATCTTCTCAATTTCAAAGAGTGCTTTTGACATTTTTTTTTTCTTCTTCGGTATGATGAAAATCATTTCGTTTGTGATGGTGAATTTATGATATGATGGGATCGATGAAATACTTTTTTTTCTTCTGTCGCTTCAACTGAATTATGGCACCAGCGGCAGTGGCAGTGGCAACGATGGTAATGTATTTTGAGCCCATTTGAAAATCCAATGAAACAAGAACGAAAAATAAAAACAACAACAAACTTTTCGGTTCATCATTATTCGAATTAGTAGGTAGTAGATAGTTTCATGGTGCTCAATGAACATAAAATCCAATGGACTGCATTAAACAGAAGCAACAACGAAATAAAATGAAAACTAGAACGAGGCAAGAGAAATGGTTCAATGACTGCAAGGTGTTTGAAATTAGAATTATGTTGAACGCCTCGGCTCTGGCCAATTTCAAACACATTTATCGTTGCTGCCGCCGACACCGCCACCGCCGTTGCCGTTGAATTCATCCAGCGGCCAATATGCAAAACAAATTATTTAATTTCAAGCATCAAAAATATTTTATGGCTTAACCGAAACGGATATTTTTCCCGTTGTGTGTGTATGCTTTAGAGAGTCCAATGTTCATATAAACACGCGCGTGTCGGCTTCATTTTGAACATGGCCATGGTATATCGGGTATGTGCTTTCCCGTCTCAAGAAAAAGCAAAAGCAAAACCAAATAACCATATCGTAGATACATTTTTAATATGCAATGTGCTCAAATATTCAAACGAATAGAAATTTCTAATAAAGTGGGACGAAATATGGACGCACAAGGTATGTTAGCCGGGCGTGTGTGTGTGTGTGTGTGTGTGCTAGCACAAGGAAGTCATTCTTAACTAAAATTAAACTCAATAAACTTCACAAAATGATATGCATATAGACATACACACACTTATTTTGCCTGCGAACGAGAGAAAGAGAGAGAATCACCATCTCTCTGGTGTGTTTATGTTCTGTGTTATGCGCGCTCGGTGTGTGTGTGTGTGTGTGTGCCGATGTGCGAACCGAACAGAACCAAAATCAAACCAAACGAAAACGTTTTGAATACACATAAATCGTATATTACATTGTAATTATACGCATCGTATCGCATCGCACGAAAGAATTTCCCTTACAGCCAGCTCCACTTCCATTTACACACACACACACACACACTGGTGAATGTACCTCACTCGCCTGTGTGCTCACTTGCTTGCCATTCCGATGAATTATTTGTGTTGATACTTAAAATTTGCGAAATACTGGGAAGTTATGCAAACGCTACATGAGGTAGCGAGAACGACCGAGTGAAAATATATGTGTGTGTGTGTGTGTTTGCTGGCTGCAGCCACCGTCTGGATTCGTTTGAGATTCAGTATGCTGTATGTGCCTCGAATACAAACTTTGATTGCTCACCTTTATTGGGCCTGCCGCCCGCTAGACGTATGCTTTGTGTGTGCTGTGCTTTTTTTGTTCATTCCTGGTGCTGCTTTCTGTGCGAGTGAGAGAGAGAGAAAGAGAGAGCGAGCGAATGAGTCGGACTTTATGTGTTCCGTTTCTTTTTCACCTTAATTTGCATCTGGTTAAGGGCAAACAATTACGGTTGCCGAAGAATTTCTGTATGGAGTTATCTATTTATTGAGCAACCGGCTGATTTATACCGTACACGTTATGCAAACAAAAATTTTCAACCAGCAAGCCAGCCAGGCAACCAGGCCACCTATTCAGCGGAATGAGCGCAGAAATTTTCTGCATTTCCTAATTGAGTTTCCACGTACATGTACACACACACACACCGAATTAGAATATAGAATAATAGCAGCACTCCACTCGTTATGCGAAGAGACAAAGCAAAGTGTTTATACGGTGTACCGTTTGACGATGAGCGTGCTGCGATTTAGATCATTGGTCATAAAATAATGCTTCAACCAAAAAAGGTTCTTGTGTTTCGCAATTCAACAGCTTTTCGGTTGGCCATATCATGCACACACACACACACACACACGCACGCATTTGAGCCACACGCTTTTCCGCCGCTCATATGCCAAACCGTTCTGGTGCACATACCATAATATAACTTGAAGATATGTTTTGTTTAATCTATCCGGGGATCCGTCAGTCCGGAATTATTCGATTAATAATTCAATGTCATTAATAATGATTAAAATTTTATCTGCTTATTATCACTTATGGACCTTATGAGGAGTAGCAGCCGCAGCCCACAGGTGCTGTGATGCATAGCTGTCGATCGATGAATGACCTAAACTCTAGTGCATAAATTGGCTCACTCGTTCAACTAAATCATTATAATACTAGATAACTAAATTGCTTTGCATCATGATGTGGTGGCCGTCACAAGCTGGAATAGAAAAATCAAGCAAAGTTTGACATAACACCTCAACGGAGTAATTTTCTTTCTAATGACACATGTTCATTGTATCATCATCATTTCAAAGTAGATATTAATTCGATCCTTATTATCAAAAGCCCAACAATTTGATTTTTCTGCTAATTTTCGTTATTATTATTATTATTTTCACAGAATAACAGTAAATTAATATATAATCAAGGTTCTGCCGCTGCTGCTGCGTACATATAACACAAAATGTCAATTTATAATTCAGTTGTGACACTGCCTTCGGCTAAAATCTGAAATGGTCGAATGGTACAAAGGCGTTCCTTTGAGAACTTGTGAATTTGATTCTGTTATGTCTACGACAACAAAATCGCCCGGTTGAATATTCGATAGCTTTGTGTTGTCCTGTTGCTGGGCACATTCGTAATCACGGTAGATTTCAACATTGGCGGGAATGATTACTTTTGTGTTGGCTTCATTTCGTCCAAAGTACGCTTCTGATGATCGTTTACTTTGCTGTATTTTATAACATCGGTCGGTCGAATGAAATCAAATAAAAAAAAACACGAACGAAGAAAATGAGTTAAATTCTGAGTGCCCACACATAGAGAGAGTGAAAGAATGAAGAGAAAAAATCGTTTGAAATGCTTACGCCTTCGATTAAAATTAGTTGCTTCTTGCCAACGCAAGCCGCATTCAGCTCTTCAGCACCAGCTCGATACACCTGTGCCATCTCGAAGACACGACGATTTTTTACATCCTGAGGCACATCGTCTACAAACCGTCGATGGGCCGTTGTTTTCTGTTTTTCCAACGAAATTTAATTGATTTGTGTTTGTCTCGACAACCAGTTTTGGTACAATTTTTTTTTCTTTTATTCCAGTTCTTTCGACAACATTTTTGTTTATTTTATTTCTTTTTCGTTTGCAACACACAGAAATCAACTTACCTCTCTCATACTGTACGCAAACATAAATGCCATGTGATACTTCACTTGATTCATTACCGATAGTGTATCGGCAAATTCCGCTTCGGTTTCACCACAGAATCCTATGTAGAGCCAATTTTGAAGAAAACTTTGTTAGATTTCTCTCTCTCTCTCTCTTGATTTGTCAGATCAAGAAAACTTTGAAAATATTCAAGTTTTTCTTCCAACCAATATTCAATTTTAACTCAAACATCAATATTCAATGCCATATCTCTGCGAAGAACTTTTGAATGAAGGAATTCAAACGAAAATCGTTTACGTTTGCAAATTGAAAAGAAACTAAACACACTAATTTTTTATTTTGCTTTGATTCATTTTCGCGAGAAAACTCTTTTTAACTCCTATAGAAACGAATGGAAAATTATCCGTGAATGAATATTACCTGTAATAAAATCACTCGAGAAACTCACGCCAGGGATGATATTTCGAATATGTTTGATTAGATCTAGATACACTTCTTTCGTGTATCCACGACGCATTCGTTCCAAAACAGCATTGTTACCCGATTGAATCGGCATGTGAATGTTTTTGCAGATATTTGGATATTGGCGCATCACATGCAACACTTCATCGGGAAAATCTTTCGGATGAGGCGATGTGAATCGGATACGAACTTCAGGCACAGCCGCAGCCACACGCTCAAGCAATTCCGCAAATCTCATTCCACCTTTTTTCGTTTTATATACCGTTTTAAAACCACTTACGATATTCGTTGGACTCTCCCGATCTGAATCTTGTGATAAATCACGGTAACTATTCACATTTTGTCCTAAAAGTGTAATCTCTTTGATACCCTGGTCGGCCAGCATTTTCGCTTCATTTTCGATGGTGTCAATTGGCCGTGAACGTTCTCGGCCACGCGTAAACGGCACTATACAGTACGTACACATGTTATCACATCCACGCATTATCGACCTAATAATTGAGCGAATAATTAAAAACCAATTAATAAATCACACAAATCACACGTTAACTGCGTAATTTCGAACGGTAGACGGAAAACAGGAAAACTCATGAAATTCTAATCTACGGTCGATATAATGATTAATCATTCGGAACTTATCATCGTGATAATTAATATTCTATTGAATATTTCACATTCATATGCGATAATTCAGGTATTTATATTTTCACTTTAGAAATTTATGTCGTCAAATATCATTCGACATAGATTGACATTTTCGTCTGATCGTTTGTGCGTCAAAAACTCCTAAAAAATTTAAATAGATCTCAAATGAAATGGAACTGCTTACACAAATGCGGTGACGGCATTTTCATTTAATCGAACTGGCACGATGTCAGCGTAGGTTTCGTCTAAGGAGAGTAGTACATTAACTGCGCTTTGTCCACTTTTTGTGACCGTCAAGAGTCGCGGCAGATCCTTATAGCTGTCTGGTCCAGAGATTACATCAACGCTTTTTTCTTTTTCCAGTAATTCCGTTTTTAGTCGTTCGGCCATACAACCCAAGATGCCAACTTGATAGATTTTGCCGATAGTTTTTCGTTTCTTCTTCTCAACAACCAGCTGTTTCAATCGTGACCAAATCTAAAATGAAGTAATTCGAATGAATATGATGCAAAGCCTTGATAAAAATAAAAGTCTGGTTGACTATTTGCAAATAAAAACTCTCGAAAAGTCGGCCAAATTCCAAAATTTCCTCTCTAAAAATGCACCAAAATGGTGTGCCTCACCTTTGATTCGGCTTTTTCTCGAATGGCACAAGTCATCAATAGCACCACATCGGCATCTTCAGCCGATTGCACCTTTTCATAACCGTTGTCTTTTAAAATCGACCATACAATTTCGGTGTCATTCACATTCATTTGGCATCCGTACACTTCGAAAAACACTTTACGACCGTGTCCATCGTAATCGATTTCGTTGAGGTATGGAATTGTATTTTCGGGTGTGATTGGATTCGGTTGTGCGACCAGTGAATTTTTGCCAGCAATTAAAAACTCTTTCAATCCCGGTCCTTTGGCTGGCAGCCTTCCACTCGACTTAACCGCAACTTTTGATGAAAAACACCGTTGATGCACATAACTATTTCGAATGGTAGCTTGCCCACCAAACTCTTGTTCCACAAAACATCTGATTAAACTGAGACGACTAAAATTTAAGTGATTTCTTAAGTGTAAGAAGCGCATTGCAACTTATTTATTATTATTTAATGATAGTATGTTAAATCGGTCATGCTGCTTTTCGGCTTCTGTCAACAAATGTCAACACAAAACAAAAGACATTTCGATACAAACCCGTCAAATGATGCGGCCGCTTGCAGCGCCACACAACGGATGGTAGAACTGATGAGCAGGGTTTTCAGAGAGAAAAACAATCGATGATAGGTAAATGCGTGAGTATGAGCTCTTCTGATTTTTGTACTTGCCTTTTTGCATGAAGCTCACTGTAAAAGGAATGATTCAACAGAAGATACACATTACCTTTGATGTAAAACAATCCACACTCTTGATATGGATACAAATATCAAAAGTATCACAACATGAAAAAAATGTGGCTACTGTGTGTTATCAACAGGGCAGAACAGAGAACAATACCAATGAGAAAGTCGATAACATATACAACATTGAGAACATGATACACGCTAGCATAACCAAACAAATATGATCCCACATAACTTGAACTGGAATTTCAATTCAAAGAGTTTTTTTTTTGGCATGGACAAACATAAAAAATTTAATGGTGCATTTAATGGAATTCAATCGGTGAGTACCGAAGCTACAGAGATGGAAAATCTCAGTTTGATCAATGAATACACGACCAATTCCCAGTCAGATCTAGTTTGTGGAACAAAAGAAAAGAAATTGCACCGAATCCGACAACCAATTTCAAGCATTCTCACTTGGTTCCTACGAATTAGCAAATCAGCCTTAGAATAACTAGCAAATGCAAGTGGCAGAACAAAAGTATTGATAGAGTCGAACATTTCTTGTCCGAAAAGCCAAACATTTAAGCCAGAAAAAAATGTTCAAAAATCGAAATATTAATCAAAAACGATGTCAGAAGTAGAAAATGATTTCAAAAGTCCAAACGGAATCAAGAAATTCAATTTAGTTTGTGAAGCTGAAAAATGAATAATTTGTTACGAAGAATTTTTTAATATTCAAGCTGCGTTACCCGTTTTCTTTGCCATTTCAAGCGGATTCGTTTACGTTGGCAAATTACTTTCAACGAAAACCCATTTGCATATTCTTCTGGCCTATACAATTGAAAAGAGTCAGGTCCATTGTTCATTTCATTTCCTAGACTCATTCCGTTTGCGGCCACAATCACAAGCTTAAATCGCTAATACTGCAGACGAATGGTGTGTGGTTTGTTGGTTTTGAAATCGATTGAAGATGTGATCAACAATTTTTTTTTTACGTGAATGTTTTTTGTTTATTGTTAATTAGGTCTCATTTTTAACATCAAAATGTTGCGAATTGAGTTGCGGCAAAAAAAGTGATTCACTTTCTGGCTTGTTGTTGTTGACGGGCAACATCACGTGCGAATGTACGTTGTGGTGGTGTTCGGATGCGACGAGCTTCCTTTGATCTGTTACGCACAACTTTCGAGTGAATAGCGCATGAGACGCAGTAGTGCAACTTGGCGTACAGTTTTGGGAGGAGGTAAGCTGTAAAAAGATGAAGAAAACGAAAAAAAATACCGTGAGTTAGTATCCAACGTGTCAAACTGATTGCAATGCATCATGCTCAAATGGTGCACATTGTGTGTCATCTAAATCAATGTTCATTCATACTAACCAGTGTAGACTGAAGCTTCGGTGATATCACGGACAGCAGCAGCTTCTACGATGTTACGGATAACAAATTTCTTGATAGCCTTGTCCTTTGGTACGCATCGAGCACAGTTTGTGCAACGAACTGGCTTAACGTGACCACGGTTGTGTTTACAACGTCCTCCATTACGGCGTTTCTTTGTCTGGAAATCGGAGAGAGAAGAAAAAGGAAAATTAAACTTCGAATAAAGATCATATGTGGTTTTGATTGGTAATTTGCACGCAATATTCGCACTTAGGTTCACATAATTCCACAGTGGAAAGCATTCATTGTGTGTGTATATTGAGGTTATGTTAACTTTGTTCACAGTCGCTTCATTGCATCTAGCGTGTACACATGTGAACGAAGGAAAAAAACCGAATGAATGCAATTGTAACTTGAACTAAAAACACATTAAATTGGTGAAATTGACGAAACACAGTAAATCAAATGAAAATAATCTATAATTGAATTAAAAAACAGGAAAAAAAAGGTTGAATGTCGGTATTCGAAAACTCCACATGTGTCATACAGCGAAACTGTGATATTTTTTTTCGGATAAAATTTCGATCGAAAAAATCTAATGCACAGATTTAATCACAAATTAAATTCGATAGAAACGCTGTTTATTGCTTAATTTGTGAACTTTTTGCCTAAAACGTGCGAGAAATTGAAAGAAAATCCATGCAATTTTTAGCACACTCAAAAAACACGTACCATCTTGATTGACTTGTTACTACCAAAAGAACGGAAATAGAGAAAGATGTACTGTCGTTCGCACCGATTTGATGGCTGCTTCGCTTTGAACGCCATGAAGTTGGCCACAACCGAACGACATGACTGTCACTTAATGGCGCCACTTGACACACGCTTTATTCAAATATTGAATCTCTTGATCCAAACAAGTAATTCATACAAAATGAATGAGATTTTGGGGCATTTTTTTTGTTTTTCAGTAATTTTTTGGATCGGTCATCATTTTTGCGATATTCAATCTGTGAATATGATCGAGTTATTTGATGGAATCATTCAGAAAACACGTAATATGTGCGGATAAAACCATTCATTTCAGCAATAAAACTCATTTTCCACGGATCACAAATGTTTCTTTATATTTGGAATACATTGAAATCATAACATACTCATCATAATAACAAATCGAAAGAAATTGATTTTAAAACTAAAATTTGTGATAAAAACACAACAAATCTCATCATTTTCATGTTCAATATCAACATTTTATTGTCAATCATTGTCTGAACTGAAGAGAATACAGTCGAATTTAAAAATCGCACTGTCGATCTAGTACGGTGATTGTGAGTCGCGTGTGCAAGCCCAAAGTCAAAGCATCGAAAAGAAGAGGTGAAAAAAATCAATTCGCAGTGTTTTCTCTCGGTAAAGAGAGTGAATGTGTTTATGACATTTGCCGATGTCAAATAAAAATTTTGCTATTCGCAATAGGCACTTCGATAATCATATAACCTATAGTCGAAAAGGTTTGGTTATTGTATTAAAATACACACCGGATACAAATACACAACGAGTTAAGTTAGAGTGAGATAGAGTTGAACACCATGCAATAATGTGTATTTGTCTCATGAACGAAACGGTGAGTGCATTTGGTTTTGAGAGTCAATCTGTGCCTGTGTGAGATAGAGAGAGAGGGAGAGAGAAGAAAAACAGAATAAGTGTAAATGCATTGTGTAAATAATGAAATAAAGTCGACAGCAACAGTGAGTGATGGAATCAGGCGCGTTTTGTATCATACATCATTTGAAAAGCCACTGTGTGTCCAATTCGAATCGATTCATCTAAAAATGGTGTGAATTAAAATTGAAGCGACCACAACGAAAGAAACAACAACACAAATCATTGTCGTCGTGCCGCTCTCACGGACGGTTGAGTATTGCCAAAGTGTTGTGTGTATTTTGTTCTTCTTTTGTTGTTGTTGATAGACACGCTCTGTATTTTTCAAATGACCGAACAATTCGAAGCCGATCAATTGAGACAGCACCGTAGTGATTGAGACGAGACGGACGCGCGCGCGATTTGTTTTTTTTTTATTAAGAGGGATGAAATTCGATATTCCCAAGTATATATACATATACGATGGTCGTGTGTGGCTTCAAATGGTTGATTCATATAACGTGTAAAACCCACAGTTGAAGTGAGTGATTTGATAAACATAAAATGTGCTTAATGTTTTTGGTTTGAGTCATTCGCATTACAAACAGAGACTCTCGTTTCGCTGAAGCACACATTTTTTATTTGCGCGTTCACTCAATTAATTCCAATTATGGTAAACTAAAATCAGATAACATATTGAATGACATTCGAATCCGGGAGAGAGAGAGAGAGAGAGAAAAACAGTTTTCCGTTTGACATAGTCGTGAAATAACAAATAAAACAGCCAGTTTTGTGTCTTATATTCCGTGAAAAAATAAAGTCAATAAGAATCAAGTACAGAAGAACAAGTTGATAACAAAGATAAATGGCATTTGATGTTACTCATTCAATAAATGTAAGTTTTGTTTTGTTTTTTTTACCCATTTTGATCCAATTTAACACATCGATTCATCAACGATGATAACGTGATGAGTGCAATCGTGCAATGTTTACTATATATGGTATGATATTCAATATGGGCTTAACTTTAATTGGGTGATTTCATACATGAGAATTAATGAAACTCGATCGAAAAAAAAATCGTTACGTAGTCGCGTTTCGATTTAATGGTAATGTAACATAATTATTGCGCCATAGCACAAACAGCAAAAACAACAAAAACAAAAAAGCTCGAGCTAGAAAGCGAGACAAACAACAACGACCGAGAGAATTTCGGCGCCGCAAAATTGAATACAACCATTCATTCAAAAGGTGTGAGCAAGTTGTTGGGCATTTCCCAGAAAGGCAATTCTTATGACACGTATGGAAACATAACATTGGAATTTCAAATTGGTTTTTCATTGGAAAAATCGAATTGAATACTTTCCGACTGTACAGCGAAGATAATGCGTCAATTATAAATGGGTTTTTCGTTTGTGTGATTTTGAATTGATAACTTAGAAAACTTGTGTGTTGCTGTTGTCGGAGGAAAATGCCGTTTGTTTTCATTGTCTCAAAGGCTTCGTTGAAAAGAGGTGTTGAATGTGATGAGTTGGTGAGAAAATTCGTGTTAGAAAAACCCTCCCTGTAAGAACGTCTTAAATTCATAAGATCCGGCTATCATGCCGCATATTTTCATCACAAAGAGACAACCAAATCTGGGTATTTCATCTGTTTCAAAAAGAAAACCAAATGAAGCTATTGAGACGATGTGATTTGTGTATGTTTTGGTTGGGTGCTGAAAAAAAACATATACAAATTTTCGATGCAGAAGAGAAGAATTCAACGAGATTTCAAATATGGACTAGAGTGGCTGTCAATGGTATTTGGTTTGAAGTGATGACAACTTCATGTATACCTTATACACCGAAGCTCACACTACAACCACACATCCGGTATTTGTCTATGTATACGGATCAGTTGAGTACTGTGATAACCGCTACTGTCAATGTAATGGTATTATCAGTCTTATGTGTTGGGATATTGTCTCAATTGTTATGGTAGTCGTCGCAATTTATTCGAGAAAGTTCAAAAATCCAATCATAATAAGTTTTGTGGTGACTTATTTTCTTTCATTCGTCTCTTTTGCATACTGTTAGTTTGTTGATTTGGACGAATTTTCATATAAAACACCGGCCATTTTTAGTTAAACTACTTCATTTTTACTACACCGGTATTGAGCATTGGAATTTTCTTCCGCCACTTCATTGCGATTTACAATCGAATTATTCCATTTTTTGTGCATTTAATTTGTCCGTAAGTGAAAAACCAAATTTTTGATAATGGCATCGGCTTTGATCCGTGGTATGGCAACAAGTGCCGCTGAATCTGCCATTAAACATGTTACCATCATTGGTGGCGGTTTGATGGGCTCCGGTATCGCTCAAGTAAGTCAATTTCTTTGATTTTCACATCGTGTTCTTTTTTTTTCATTCCTAGCTATGAATTTGTGTCAAATCATCGACGCACAGTTCATAGTCCAATAATTTTGTAATCGAGGTGACTGACTTATTTGCTTGGGGCATTTTTGTACGTGTATGTTTAGGTTGCGGCGACAGCTGGTTATGATGTAACTATTGTTGAAGTCAACAATCAGTTGGTCGAGCAGGCAAAAAATAGCATTAAAAATAGCTTGGGCCGTGTGGCAAAAAAACAATTCAAAGATGACGGCGATAAGCAAACCAAATTCGTAACGGATACTTTTAAACGCATAAACGGTTCGTCCGATCTGCAAGGGGTTGTCAAAGGTACCGATTTGGTCATTGAAGCCATTGTTGAGAATATCGGCATCAAGCACAAACTCTTCGAATCAATTGATAAGGTGTGTGTGTGTTTTTTTTTTTGGGATTTTTCTCTAGAAAAATCCATGTTAAATTGTCCATTCAACAACACCAACAACAACCTATGTTGTTAACCATTTTCGCTTTAATTCTAATTGATCTGTTCATCCGTCAGGTTGCACCAAACCATACCATTTTCACATCGAACACATCATCTTTGTCGATTAAGGAAATCGCGTCGGTCACCGATCGCAAAGATCGCTTTGGTGGTTTGCACTTTTTCAATCCGGTGCCAGTGATGAAATTGCTCGAAATTATACGTACCACCGATACATCAGACGATACGTACAATGCAATCCGTAATTTTGGTGAGAAAATTGGTAAATCATGCATCGTCTGCAAAGATACACCTGGATTCGTGGTGAATCGCTTGTTGGTACCATACATGGCGGAATCGGTTCGTTTGTTAGAGCGTGGTGATGCATCGGCCCGTGACATTGACACTGCCATGAAATTGGGTGCCGGCTATCCAATGGGACCCATCGAATTGTCTGACTACGTTGGTCTCGATACCACCTACAACATTCTCAAGGGATGGCACGAACGTGAACCAGAAAATCCACTGTACAAACCAATCCCATTGCTGGAAAAACTAGTCAAAGATGGCAAATTCGGCGTTAAATCCGGTGAAGGCTTCTACAAATACAACAAAAAATAGATTTTCTGAAATCACTTTTATGCATTTGAAAAAAAATAACGAATTTAAATACACTCAATTGTTATCACAAACCCTATTTGCCCTTGAATGAATCTATTTTGCACGATAAATGTTGATAAATTAACCAATTTTTTTTACTTCTATCGGCTGGGTAATTAAACTAAAATAAATAGTTTACGAAAAAGATACTGGCCATTGTTTTACTCAATAATTTATGATGTTTCCACATATTCGAACGCAATGAAGTTGACTAATGAAATGAAGACGTCAACAGTGCCCCCGAAAAGAAAAGAATGAACCCAACGTGTTGTTATCTAATCGCCATCACAAACGAATGCACGATATTTTCACAAACATACATATAACTCAACCGTTTGGCTCTCGATTTTATTGCGGGGAGCTCAACGTTTAATTTGGATTGAACCGAAAAACTCACGGAATTTACGTACGATTCTTATCTTCTTTTTTTTCGCTCTCTTTCTCTCGCTCTATTCACTTGTCTCCATAACCGTACCCAATGTCACGTTGTTTTCAGACTTCACGTATTGTGTTTTTTTTTCGCTGGCGCACAACATTTGTGTTCTGTGTCTTTATTTATCGAAATCGCATTGCTTAAGCAACAAAGTAATTCATTTTGTTCAACACGTGAAAGCGTATAAGCGGCGATTCTTACATAAGGCTTCGATTTGTTTTGATTTCTTCCTTTTTTTATTGGGTTCGAGTTTATACTGCAAGCATTCAGTAAGAAGAAGAAGAACATTGCGGCATTTATCACGTTATCATTGTTGAATTATCGATAATAATTAAGACGAATATTCAGAAGAAGAAAAAAACCGACAAATAATTAAAACCAATGGTGAATCATATGAATTTTGCATTTTTTTTTTTGCAGGTATGATAATCCGGTCAAAATTGCCGCCATACCAAAGAACCAAAACAATTAATCAGACGTCGAAGAAGCAGAAAATGATTTCACAAACAATACTCAAGGATTTGCCCAGCGGCACCGAACTGCTGGAAAACCAAGTGGCCGGACACACATTTCAAATCGGAACGGATGAAATCGGTATGTGGCACTACATGACCTGTAGTGTCTGTTGTTTTTCGAATTTTTATTCCGGCTTCTTTTTTTCTGTATCTTACTGAGAAATCGGTTTTTATTAGTAATTTTTCAATCAATTTCATTCATGGAATCTCCATTCCATCAGGTATGCTCAAAGATCAACAGGATGGTTCTGTGTTGAAGGCGGCAGTGAAACCGGTCTGTGGAGCGCGCGAAATCAAATTTTACGAAAGTTTAAGGCGAAATTTAAGCGATCCAAGTATTGAGGCGTTGCGAAAACTGGTGCCTGAATATCGTGGAACGGTGAAAATGCCATTTCGCGGTAAAGTCATTGATTTCATCAAATTGGCCGATTTAACACACGATATGGGCGAACCATGTGTGATGGACATCAAAATTGGCAAACGTACTTGGGATCCGCTTGCAACGCAGGCAAAAATTTTAGCGGAAGAACAAAAGTATGAAGCGTGCAAACAAAATTTAGGATTTTGCATTCCGGGCTTTCAAGTGTACGACATTAAAACTGGCCGTGTCAAGAGATTTGGCAAAGAATATGGCAAAAAGTTGAATCAGAAGACGGTTAAAGATGGTGAGTTGAATATCTTTACCCCTGATTTGATTGATTTTTTTTTGTGTCGCAATGCAGAACACTGTAAATTTGCCAGTCAATCGTTCAAGTTGAAAATTTTGAATTAAAATGTTGAAAAAAATGGATTTTCGTTTTTTTTCGTCTCTCTTTTTAGCGCTGAAAATCTTCTTGAATGCCGATACTCAACTGTCTAGGCTATTGCTAATGAAATTTCTATCAACATTATGGTCAATACAGACGTGGGCGAGATCACAAACATCGTTACGTCTTTACTCAAGTTCCTTGCTACTGGCTTATGATGCGAAGCGATTGAAAAGCCAATTATATTGCAATCGAAATTATAGCAATAGTTCCACAGTCAGCTCACGTTCATCATCAGTGGACAGCTCTTCCAAATTGACGCCAACGTCGTCCAGCGGAAATGAATGGCAAACCGCATCGCACACAAATTCGACCAGCGAAACAACAATCAATGCCAACAACGGATGCTTCAATCATTCAACCACAAATGACAGTTGCAACGGCGGCGCCGGCGATTATGCCAACGTTGTCAACGAACCAATTCAATTTTACAAACAGCTGCAAAGAAGCCATTCCACGCAAAACAACTATGAAGAGGTAAATGGGCCTGAACAGCACTCTTTTTTTTCAAATTCAATTGAATTTCCTGACATTTCATAAAGAATTTCGTTGTTTTTTTTTTGCCACACTCTACGTAGGATATGAAGAGCATTCGCAAAGATTATGATTTGTATTTGGATAATTTGGTGGATGAATGTAATGCGACCGGTGCCAGAGAATGGGCATTTGTGAAAATGATTGATTTTGCTCATGTATTTCCCGCTGACGACGCATCCATCGATACGAATTACATGTTTGGCATCGAAAATCTAGTGAAAATCTTTGAAGAATTTTTACGCGAATGTGATCAATGAAAAGGAAAAATTAATCAATTTTTTTCGAGTCAATTTTTTTTTCTATTCTATGTGCATAAAACTGAAAACGCTCAACATATGTTTTATAGCTTTAGAGAGATCATATGGTAACAACACCCATCAACTGAAGAAAAGAAAAATAATGTAAAATTATCAACAAATTCGTGACGTTATGTCGAAATAAATACCAAATTAGCTAATAAGAACCAAGCCAATCAATTTTATCAAACAAAAACAAAGAAAATGTCAATGAAAAGAAGACAAAAACGATTTCACTATATTGAATAGAACATATGATTTGTTTGAAAGCGTGTTGGAAGTTTTTTTTTTGTTGTTGTTTCTGTAGTCCCGAAACATTTTTTTCGGTGAAACGAAAAATTGACGAGAACAAAACATACGAGGGTGACACGCTAGTCAAACAAATGGTCCACCAAAAAGAAAACACAAACATGAATGTAACAAAAAAATACACTTTTTATGGGGTTAAGGATATCGTTTTTTTTTTAAATTTAAATCAGAGTTTATTTTGTTTTTGTTTCGTCCAATCAATGACGTTTTTATTCTAAGCGATTTTTGACTAAAGAAGAAATTAAAAATCTTTAAACCATTACATTTGACTATAGTAAATGTGATATTTTCGTGGCGTAGATATAGTATAACATCACTTTTTGTGTATGTGTGTGCGAACAAGTAGTGGCCGCCATGGCATTAGACACGTTCATGGTTTTCACTTACCAATTACATCAAACACACAGGGTTTTTGTATAAAAAAAGAATAAAATTTATTACATCAACAAAATCTTCGTTCGATTCTCTTGAGGATTTTATTTTTAGTGAGCATTCTCTGTGGCGAAATTTTTCCGAAGCATATAACACAGGAAAAAAAAATATCACAGCTACACACATTGCTCGTGGAATTCATAGAAATAAAACCACAGACAGCGAATTTAATGCAAAAACGCATTTTAAAAGACAGATTAATTCCTAAAAACGAACAAATAAATGAGGGGAAAGGTAATTTTTTTCTTCTTAAATTGGCTTTCTTTTCCATGATGAATCAAAACATAAAAACATAATTTCTAACCCCAGAAATGAATGATCATGAAATACATTTAGTTTGACATTTTTCTTCATTGAAAATTCGCACGGAATTTCTTCTAATCAGGCCCATAAATGAATTCCATAGAAGAGTCTTTCAAAAAGCTCAGTCAAACTGTTAGACTGTGTCTTAACCCAGTGAAATCCGAATTGACCAAACATGATATCAAGTCCAAAACACTGGTAAATATCAATTTACTTTATGCACAACACTGGGTTGACTGAAAGTTGATTTTTTGGATATTTGAAAAGTTGTTCATCTTGAGTTTAGCGAGTGAATTGGTAGCTTAATCTTGTACAAGAATTGTTTTTTTTTCATCATGTATAAACATTTTTCTGTCGTAAACGTATTCAAATTAACTGCAGTACTAAATCCAATGTTGTTTTCATCGAAATCGCAATTTTGTTTTCAAATTGTGATTAATTCGACTGTATTTCGATAGTTTATTACCATTCCTGTCTATGTAGATATTGATTCTATGGTGATTCTTCTACATTAGGCATTAAGAAATAAAAGACTCATTCGCAAGAACTCAATCAATTGAGATCACATGTTTACATATTATATGGAAAAAACAGTCATATATTTTCTGTATTTCCATTCAATCAAAATGTACGATGCATTAGCGATTCATACGTAGCCAATGTGTCAATTTCTTAATAAAATCCACGAAAATGAAATTGCAAACGACGATTCGATTTATTTTATTCAAGTGAAATGAACATCGATGACGTGTACAATTCGGACCGATGTAATGAAATGGCGCGAAAATATCTGCCATTTGTAATCAAAAATCGGACGATTTCCAATCTTTTATGAGTGTATTGTTGGCTGTATAAATGGTCTGCTGTGTGCAAAATATTGCCGAAAAACGATAGCCGCACGACGCGTTGAGTAGAGCACATGCAAAAATTCAGGCGAATTGATGAGTTTGTTCAGAGAATCGAAATGGATGACAAAATCCAAGCGAAATGTGATGTTGTGCCGTGCTATGTGGAAAATTTTGTATCGCACACTTCAAATCACAGACAAAATCAGAGAGAGAGAGAGGGAGAAAGACTGCGAGAAAGAAACCAAAAACAGCAAAGTGTTGACTAACACATTGTAAAGACAAATGAAATGACTGTGCTGTTCTATGCTCCTGTTTCAATCATCACCTTACTCTGATCGACCGATAGAACGTGACAACGACAAAAGTCGACAGTGAGTTTGCTTGCGACGCTTTGTACCGATGCAAATTTGATATGCTCGCCGGGCCACCGACACAATCGCACAATTGATTTCTTGTGTATTTGTGTGTCTATGTGTAGCAACATGTCGATCAGCAGCCAAACACGGTGGCGTTCAACCACCATTCTTATTTTATCAGTTTAACGAAGCGGTCTAATACTGCAACTATTCTATCCAGCTAAATACTGCGTAATTTCTGTCGAAGCCATTTTCGTTTTAGATTTTCGTACGTACGACTTAAAAGCGCTGAAAACATGGAAAATATTGAAATAGCAGGTGAGTTTGACACAATTATCTCGGATGCATTTTTGCCGTGGAGATTTCTACAATTTCGGGATTTGTTGCGGCTATTTTGCACTTTGTTCGCAATTTTTTTTTTCGATTCAGAGTACCGTAAATGAACGATTCGTCCAAAACTGTACGTTCAAAATATTTATTTCTCGTTTTGAATGTTCATTATTGCCAATTGTTTATCCAAATTTTTTTAAACAAAACAAAGAAAATCGAATTTGATGCAGAATAAATCCATTTGCGCATGTTTTAATCGCGATTTCGTCTCTTTTTTTTCATTTGTACAGAACGTAATGTTGTTGAAGTGAATAGCGTCACCGTTGATCTCAGTGTAATTGGTAAAGACGCCGAAATTGAGATGAACAACAACAACAACAACGAAGGTGTGTTGGCTTCGAAAAATGAAGGTTTGATGGTCGTCAAAGATGTGATGCCCAGCGAAGAGCCAACGATGGTTGAGACAGTGTCGGAAAAAATGATGAGCGATGAAATGGCCAAAGAAGAACTGAAACACACTGATTCTGAAATGGGTTCAATGAACACGGATAACGGTAATGCAACCAGTGTGGAAAACGAGCCAACTGAAGGTGATTTGAAGGTTGAACTTGCATCGGTGTCCGAGATGAACGATGAAAAGACCGAATCATCGGAAATATCCGAGCAAACGGAAGCATCGGAACCATCATCATCGTATGCCACTGACTCGGAATCAAAAGATGATACACAAATTGAGTCTGAATCAGGTACGTCTGAAAATACTACCGAAAATAGCACTGAAAACACCGTCGAAACATCGGAACCGAACGAAGTTACTCCGAGCGAACAAAGTGGCGATAACGCACATCAAAACGAAGCAAAGAAAGAAGAAGAAGAAGGTACCGTTACCGCTGCCGAAAAGAAAGATGATGCACAAACTGAAACGGAGCAGAAAAGTGACGATGCAAATGAAACGGTGAAAAGTGATTCGTCGAAGCGATCACCGCGCAAAAAGGGCACAAACAAGAAACGCAAGAATCGCTCACGTTCGCAGAAAAAGCAAACTGATTATTCGGATTTGGTCAAGTACACCGTAAGTGTATCGCAACGGCAACGACGGTACACGTTGCATGTGCCACGTGGTCGCGTGATCAATGCACCGGGTGATGATTGCGAAATTTTCTGCTCGAACATTCCGATAAATGTGCTCGAAGGTGAATTGATCCCGTTGTTTGAGCGTTATGGCAAAATTTGGGAATTACGCTTGATGATGTCGTTGCGTAATCCAAAACGTAATGCTGGCTTCGCCTTTGTACGGTACACAAGCAACAAATCGGCCACTGAGGCAACTGAAAAACTCAACAACTACGAAATTTTGCCCGGCAAACTGATTGCAATCCGTTTGAGCCAACCAAATCTCAGTCTATTCGTTGGTAACATTCATCGGGGCCTGACTCGCGAACAAATCCACGAAAAAATCGGCAGCCGAACCAATGGTAAGTGGTTGTTTTTCTTCCTTTTTTGAGATATTTTCTTCACAATTTGTATTTTACAGTCATTTTGAAGAGATTTTTTCTCAATGTTACCCTCAATTTTGTTCGTTTACTTCATCAATTTGCATTTGTCCAATCTCCATTTCGGTTTGGAATTGCTTTCGAAGTCTTTACTTTTCTTCCACAACTGATTTTGTTCCCACATTTTTCAATTTGCTAAACATTTTCGCCGCATTCTTTTGCATTCATTCTCTCCGCCATTTAGGTTTGGTGAAGACATTCGTGAAGACGTCGTTGTATGAAGACACGAAAAATTGCGGTTTTTGCTTCCTCGAATACGATAGTCATTCGGCCGCACTAAAAGCCAAGCGATTGTTGAACCAAGGCAATGTTTGGGGTCGTCAATTGTTCGTCGATTGGGCACAGCGTCGCAAGCAACCAGAAGAAAGCGATCTCATCGAAAGCAAAACGCTGTTCATCAATAATCTACCGAAAGAAACAACGGATGAGCTAATCACCGAGACATTGAGTTCGTATGGGACCATCGAAAAAATCACAAAGATCAAGGACTATGCATTCGTTTTGTTCGAAGAACATCAATCCGCTGAAAACGCAATGAATGGTGTGGACAAAACCAAATTGGGTAACGAAAAGGTCGAAATTTCTATGGCCATGCCAAAATCGATGAAAAGTCGACCACGATTCTCATCGTTCCCATCGTATCGGAAAAATAGCCACCATCAACGACGAAGTGGCCGAAATCGAGGCAGCAACCATTTTAAGGGATTCAACACATCATTTGGTTCATCGACATCGACCAACAAATTCTACATGCGCAAACAGCACAAGCCGAAAAAAGTAGGTGGCAACAGCGATGCAGCCGGCACTATCGTTGAACAAACCATCATTCCGATGCCCATCGGCACCACTTCGGCAGCCGAAACATTAGCCAATTAAATTACGACTTTTTCTTAGATTGGCTCAACTCACTTTTTTCTACTTCCATTCGAATTGAACTAATTTAATCCATTGATTAAGATACTCTTTTATACTCGGATTTTCCTGTTTTTCTTTTCTTCTTTCAAACAATTAAGATTGCTTTCATTATACAAACATCCATTTAAATGTTGGAATAAATAATGATAAATACACCTACCTGCTTGCAGGTTAACGAATAAATAACACAAAAATATTTCCCAAAAAAATTATGCAGTTTTGAGTGATTTTTCAATTTGTTTTTGTTTTGGCTTTAAAAATAGCAAATAGGCAAACTTTGACTGGATTTCTTTGGAATGAAAAAAAAAATTGGAAATCAATTTGAGAAGAGGTAACGAATCTTGAGAAAAATAGAAGATCAAAATAAATTTCTTGACTGAACACAACGAATTTTCAAGGTAGGAAATGTGATGGCAAAAAATAGGAATTTTTTTCAGATTGAAAAAAGACTCTTTTGAAAGGTTTCACTTTTCAATCACACCTTCATTGCGAATTTTTTTTTGTGATAATTTTTTCTTTCATCGGAATTTTGTTTCTCCGAAAAATTCATTCTCTTTTTCTGGCGAAGTGATGCGTAAGTATTGAATAATCATAAGTTATCAGCATCTGACAGGTGTGTATGCTGTGTCTGCAGACTGTAGAAAAGTGCCCTTGTAAATTTTTCTCTGGATATGGTGACCAGATTCTAGTCACTTGATCATTTTTCTTTATATAATTTATGAGTGCCTGAGAGTTCGAACAATTTTGGGATATTTTGAGTAGGTAGGTTTTCGTACGTACTATGTTTGGAAATTCAATTATTATGCGGTTATAGTTAATATATTTGGCTGTCTAAACCGGTCAACTTGATTAAATTTTGTTCAAAGATTGAAATCGATTGGAATTCCAGTCACAGTACGTACAAAAATCCAGTCAAAATATCTTAAATAATAAACAGCCAACTTGTAGTCAATAATATTTTACAAGGGTGATTGGTCCAAATTGATAAATAAATATTTAATTGGTGATGATTAGAGCCTCTAGAAATTGTTAAACGAAAACGCTGAAAATTGTTGTTGAATTGTTAAAAAAAAGGCCTGAAAATTGTTAAATTTATGGAAATAATACGCAAAATTGTTAAACTAGATTGACAATATTTATTCCAAAGGTTGAATAATGGGGCAACATTGTTGACAGCGCCACGCCAAAGCGGTTGCCCGGTCAACTACTGTCAGTCGTAACGCAAAGTGGCACAAGCATGTCCCATTCTCTGCATACAATCGTTGCGTTCATACGCGTGTGTATGCGAAAAATGCTTCTGATTGAAAAATAACCAGATTAAAGTTAACTAAAACCAAATGAAAAGAAGATTCAAAAAAAAATTAGAAAACATATTTCCTGAAAGAGTACCTTTTCTACTTATATTTGGCAAAATTTAAAAAAAAATCATAGAGTTGGTTTCGCTGCAATTGTCTTTGGCTTTGAAATGGATTGTTCACAATTATTTTCTACTTTCATTCTGACTAAAGAACAAAGTCTTGTTGCAGCAAAACAAAGACTATGATTTCTCTAAAACTTGGTTGAATATAAGTAGAAATTATACTTTATTAAAAAATATATCTCTCAAATTATTTGGAATAAATTTTCATTTGGTTTTAGTTCATTTTAATTAGTTTTTTTTTTTTCGAACACAAGCATACGTCAATGCGTTGCAGTAGTAATCAAAAGTGACAACCAACGTGAAGTTGGCTGCGTTGCCCGGTATGCATTATGTTCACCCTTTGATTTATTCGGAAAAAGCAAAAAAATCAATCATCGTTGGCATCATCAATGAAATTGTTGAACTGAACAATGTTCAACTTTGCGATATTTGATTCAATCAAAGAACGACGGCTGTCGGACAAAATATATTTGTAGATAGAAAATGATTGCTCTACAATTCACGTCTGGATATTTGTCCGAAACTCTTTCCAGCTTCTCCAAATATTCGCCGTTCAATTTACTCTTTACCGATGTCAAAATCGCCAATTGTTGCGGTACTGTCAATCCATGCTTTTCCAATTGAGTTATGGCTTCGGCCAAGAATTTGTATTTGTGCACTTCATAAAGCGATGTATCGATGC